CATTTAATTATTTATTTAATGCTGTATTTATTTATTTAATTTTGGCACTTTTTATCCTCCATATGCTCAAAGCCATAGATGCATCTAATACTAATGATTCTATGAATAATTATTCCTTATCGTTTTATAATTCAGGTACGGTAACCGTGGCCACAACCAGCCGTGCATCCATAACGGAACGGATCGCTGCTTCATCACCAGTCAGAACCACGGATTCGCCGTCGACCCGCACACCCTGCCGAGCGACTGGGACGTTCTGTTCACCAACGCCAACGACCACACCAGCGAGGGCATTGTGCACAACACCAAACCTTTGTTCAGGTAAACGTTTGAGACTTGGACTCGTCTGAAGTTTGACAGGAGGGAGTCGACCTGAATAACGTGGCTCTAATCCTCCAGCGTTCAGTTCCACCCTGAGCACATGGCGGGCCCCACAGACCTGGTCGGCTTGTTTGATGTTTTTCTCGACACGGTCAAGGACTACAAAGAGAGCAACAGGACGAAAACCGGTAATTATATTTCCTCCCACTGTGATGCATTTTAAAGGCCAATCCATGCAACATTAAACAGATAAAGGCGGCTTTAATAACTGAAATGGTCTGTCCAGTATCTTACAGAATGACCTGTTATTGTTAAAGGGATTAATGTTGTTTTTTTTTCTTTTCTTTTTCTCCAGTAAAGCAGCGTTTGATGGACCATCTCACATACCCCTTTTCTCCAAAGACAGAGGAGGTCGTCAGACCCAAGAAAGTCCTTATTCTGGGCTCTGGAGGGCTCTCCATTGGCCAAGCTGGAGAGTTTGACTACTCTGGATCCCAGGTATAAGACAAGAAAACTGCTCCCCCTCTAAAATTAAAAAATGACTTTCAAGATTTGATTTAAAATCTTTTTATTATGCCTATTTTGTATTTATATACATCCTTAATATTCTTTGCTTTCCAGGCTATAAAGGCTCTGAAGGAAGAAAACGTCCAGACTGTGTTGATCAACCCCAATATTGCCACTGTCCAAACATCCAAAGGTCTCGCTGATAAGGTCTACTTTCTACCAATTACTCCAGATTATGTCACTCAGGTTGGTATTCTCCTCATTGTTTGTTCCTTGATTAGCAAAAAAAAAAAAAAGCATCAGATTTAAGTAAGAAGACTGGTGTTAAAGTATTTATCCTAATTTGTTTAACCAGGTGATCAGAAATGAGCGCCCAGACGGAGTTCTGCTGACGTTCGGCGGTCAGACGGCTCTGAACTGTGGCGTGGAGCTGACCAAGCTGGGCATCTTGGAGAAGTACAAGGTGCGTGTCCTGGGAACGCCGGTCGCCTCCATCGAGATGACAGAGGACAGGAAGATCTTTGTGGAGAAAATGGAGGAGATCAATGAGCATGTAGCTCCCAGCGAGGCGGCTCTTTCGGTGGAGCAGGTGAGGAGAAATTCAGTGTACCTCCACATCCTGGAGAAGTATCAGTGGATTGAAAATTAAAGACTTTTCCCCTTCTGGGCTAATGTGGGGAAGAAACACTGAAAATAAAATTTTCCTTTTGTCTAAAAGTTGTATCCATCCTTTCACTTGTTTATCAGTCCATCCAACCATCAGATTTTCATATCTATGTACACTTTGCTAAGTTATCCACCTCTTGACTAATTCATCCATCCATTTGTCAATTTTTCAACCATCCATCCGTTCCTTTTAAGGGCCTTCATAAATAGACTGTTTTTTGTTGAAATAAGCTATGGGGGGAATTTTGTCACATTATTGTTGCAGATAAAAAATAGGGATGCACGATATTGGGATTTTGGCCGATATCCGATATGCCGATATTTTAAAACTCATGTAGCCGATAACTGATATCGAAACCGATGTTAAAGCTGGACAAAAATAAGTAGTCATTGAAAATAGCAGTTTTGTTATCCATTTCTGACACTTTGAAAAATAATAAACTCAAATATATTTTCATATGCTGATATCAAATTGATTTTTAAAAACGCGGTATCGATCTATTTTACTTTCAAAATCTCGTGAAATTTCATCGTTCTGTTACAAACTCTCGTGATATTTTGCAAATTCTTGTGAGATTTTGTTAGTAAAATAAATCGATACCTCGTCAATATATCAACATATAAAAATATGGCAAAATTTCGTGAATTTTCGGGGGATTTCGTAGCATAACGATGACATATAGCAATATTTCATTAGTAAAAGAGATTGATATGGTGTTTTTAAATGGCAATATATCAGCATATGAAGATATTGTGATATTTTAATGCATCAATATTTTTTCCCTCGTTTTTAGAAGTTTTTAAGTCTGTAAAAAAGTTTTTGAGGCAGAAGAAGTAGTATTTTTTATTTATTTATTATTTAGACTTTAGAAACTCAGAAGCTGATCAAATATCGGGTTAAATATCGGTGGGGTGGCCGATGTCCGATATTCAGTTTTAAGGCCGATACCGATAGGGGGCCGATTATATCGTGCATCCCTAATAAAAACCCTTTTTTTGGGATGGAAATAAAAAAGAACACATTTTGTAAATCCATCCATCTTCAACTTAATGAATGAAAAATTCACATTTGAATTGAGAAAGCTTCCTTCAGAGGTGGCGAAACATCTTCAAATCTTGGAAATCAAGTCCAGTGGATATTTTTTTTAACTTTTACGAAATAACTATAACCTGGATGACTGAGAATCTTCATCAGCATCTTCAACTTATCTAACAGGGTAACGGTGAGGCTGAGTCTCCAGCAATCTGTGTGAAAGGCAGAGTCCACCCTGCAAAGGTCGCATGTCTGTTGCAGAGCACATTTTGCAAAATAAAAACAAATAAATCCAGAAATGAAAAGAAAAGGTTTTGAGAGTAACTTTGCTGTTGTTTCAAGTTTTATTTAAAAAAATAATTCAAAATTTACTTACAATTTTCAAATTTCAGTTTTTGCAGGTTTAACAGATCACATTTTCACCTGAAGCCCTGTACAAACGAATCCGCAGAAGTGAAGAGAACATGATCAGGAAAACGGAAATTAAGAAGAATGCAATTTATATAATTAAAGAAATATGAAAAAATAAAATTGAAAACATAAAAGCTGTTTTTTGTGAATATTTTTGAAACAGAATTTGAACCGAGAAATTGAAAAGAAAAAATATGAATTATAAAATCTGTAAAAAAGAAAAATACACTCTGAGAAAATACAGTTAAAAGTAAAATTAAACTTTGATAACATAAAAAAAACTGCCAACAGGATTGCCTTTTTTATTTACATGTTTCTTGCAGCAATAATTGAATAAAAACACTATAAAAGCCAATTTTATGTTTTATTTCTTTACCTTTCCTCTAAACTGGCTTAAAAAGACTGAAATCTGTACAAACTTAAACATAATCGACATGTCATATGACGGATTCTTTTTTTTTTTTTTTTTAGGCGGTTGCTGCTGCTGAGCGTCTAGGATACCCCGTCCTGGTCCGTTCTGCGTTCGCTCTGGGCGGACTGGGCTCCGGTTTTGCCAACAACAGAGAGGAACTCGTCTCCCTGGTAACGTCAGCCTTCGCTCACACCTCTCAGGTCCTAGTAGACAAATCCCTCAAAGGTTGGAAGGAGATCGAATACGAGGTGGTCCGAGACGCTTATGACAACTGCATCACCGTGAGTAATGGACAGGCGCACACTTAAACACCTAATTTGGAGAAACCTGTTTAAATTTGCCTTCCTGCTAGGTGTGCAACATGGAGAACATCGACCCTCTGGGCATCCATACAGGGGAGTCCATCGTTGTGGCTCCCAGTCAGACACTAAATGACTACGAGTACAACATGCTGAGAAACACCGCCATTAAGGTGATCCGGCACCTCGGCATTGTTGGAGAGTGTAACATCCAGTATGCTTTGAATCCTGAATCTGATCAGGTACGCTTAACAGGTCCAAAAGCTTCTTTTTTTTCTGGTTTTTATAAGATGTAGAATTAAGCCTGCTTGCTTTGTTGTGATCCTGAATGCTCTCTCTGCAGTACTACATCATAGAAGTGAACGCTCGGCTGTCACGGAGCTCCGCTCTGGCCAGTAAAGCCACTGGATACCCTTTGGCATACGTGGCGGCTAAACTGGGCCTGGGAATCCCGCTCCCACAACTTAAGTAAATGTTTTTCCTGATTTCAGACCAAAGAAGTCGTCTAACTTTACCTGCTGCTCCTTGTTTTCTTCTTTTTTTTATATACTTTTTTATTGAGCATCAGAGATCAGTTATATCATTTCAATTACAAGGAGGCGTTATAGTCGTATTTATATTTTAACCCCCCATCCTAAGAACGTGTTGGGCACCAATCTAGTAGGAATAGATAATTGAAGGTAATACAGAAATAAACAAGAACAGTGGGGGGGAAAAAAAAGGATTAATAATACCGTATTTTCTGCACTATAAGGCGCACCGGATTATAAGGCGCATACAATAGACGCTACAGTAGAGGCTGGGGGTTACTTTATGCATCAATTAGATGGAGCTGAGCTAAAGGGGAATGTCAACAAAACAGTCAGGTCAGTTTAACTTTATTAATAGATTACAAACCAGCTTAGTTTAAGGTATAACATGTAGTGCAATGTTAATACACCCCACATAGTGGGGGGGAACTTTTCCTCCATTCAATATTAATAATAATAATAATCACAATATAGAAACACTCGAAATAGTGCAAAGCGATAACAATATATCAATAACTCAACGTTGCTCAAACGTTAATATCACACAACACACAAAATAAACACGTAAAGCTCACTTCACTAAGTTATTCCTCATCCACGAATCCCTGGAATTCTTCTTCGGTGTCCGAATTAAACAGGTGGGCGAATACGGGATCCAACATGCCCGGCTCCGTCTCTTCGAAGTCGTCATTGATCGAGTCGGTGTCGCTACTGCTGCCTAGCAGTTCAGTGACAATTCCTTCCTTTCTGAAATCTCGCACCACAGTTGAGACTGATATATCAGCCCATGCATTTACGATCCACTGGCAGATGGTGGCATATGTCGTCCGGCGCTGTCTATGTGTGTTCGCCTTCTGTCATCCACTGTTCCCACTTGCTGCTGCTCTATACCCAAGTTCTTCTGCGTGACTGATCGCCTTGAGTTTAAACTCTGCGTCACATGCGTGTCTCTTAATAGGAGCCGTTTTGGGGTCTTTACATGAAAAACAAATGGAAATGAAATATATATACTGGTATATATCCAGCATGCACTGCGCGCAGAAGAAAATGGAGTCGGCGGCTGCTTACCGTAGTTGCCATATATAAGGCGCACCGTCTAATAAGGCGCATTGTTGGCTTTTGAGATAATTAGAGTTTTTTAGGTGTGCCTTATAGTGCGGAAAATACGGTAAATAAAATAAAAGGTTTTACATGCATATATATATCAAAATATATACATATGTATGAGCGTGCATAACAAAAAGAGCTTATATCTTTGCTCACTAACACTGATGTTGTGAAATACAGAAGACATGGTACACATTGGTTCAATCATAATCACAAACGAAGGATGACTGCCAGGGGATCATTAAGTCGGCAAAGTTTTAAGTTTACCTAAATGCGTCAATATTGGACCCCAGACAGAGAAAAATGTGTCCCTGGACCCCCTTAGAGTATATTTTATTTTCTCTAATTGTATAAAGCAGCGGTCCCCAACCTTTTTTGCGCCACGGACCAGTTATATGTCTGACAATATTTTCACGGACCGGCCTTTAAAGTGTGTGGGGGGTAAATATGATTAAATAAATGATTCGACTGGCATAAAATCAAATAAAAACAGCATAAAAATAAAACTGACCATTATGTTGAATTAGTGGGAGCCCTGAGCTTGTTTCTCCAAAACAAGCCGGTCCCATCTAGGCGTAACTGGATACAATGACACGATGTGTGCTCCTGATGTCCAGTCTGCTCCGTAGCTTTGTTTTGGTCGCTCTAACCGCAGAAAATAGGATGCGGGTTAGGGTTATAGATGGGATACGTCTTGATCTGAATTAACCTGTGTCAAGAAGCACAGATGCGCCGACTGATGTAATTGGGAGAGAATACAGCAAATTTTTTTATATTTTTCAAAATAAAACATCACTCAGACTCTGATCGTCGATAAATTATATATATATTTTTTTCTGTGCGGCCCGGAACCAAATGACCGACGGACCGGTACCGGTCCGCGGCCCGGTGGTTGGGGACCGCTGGTATAAAGTATGTCAGGTCACTAAAACAAAATGACAACATGGGTGGATTTCTTGATTTCCAATGCTATAAAATTGTGCAGAATGTGCAAGCAGCGTTGTGAAAGCAATTGTTTCTATGGCCTTCCCTTAATGTTATCTCACTACAATCTGTGGCACTAAATATGGCCATAACTAAAGTTAGGCTGAAGATTAGTGTTCAATGCTTCTGACAGTGTTTTAAAGATGGTAGACCCTAGTTTTATTCTTTTTAATTAACATTTTGTTCACCATCTTCTAGAAATTCCGTCACCAACTCAACCACAGCAAACTTTGAGCCCAGTTTGGATTACTGTGTGGTGAAGGTGCCTCGCTGGGATCTCAGCAAGTTCCTGAGAGTTTCTACTAAGATTGGCAGCTCAATGAAGAGCGTTGGTAAGAAAAGAGAGGGCGTTTTCTTTAATAATTCTACCTGTAAACTACATTTTATAAGGACGTCTTCATTAGTTGCTCCTTTTATATATTTTTACCTTTTGAAAGACAAAAAAGAAACTAAAACTAGAAATATGTGAGTTCTTTATTCTTGAAATGTTTAAGCCTCATTAGCAACAGGACATTTTTGTTTCGTAGTTTTGTTTTAAAAAAGTATTTTCTCCACAGGGGAGGTGATGGCCATCGGCCGCAGCTTTGAGGAGGCCTTTCAGAAAGCTCTCAGGATGGTGGATGAGAACTGCGTGGGCTTTGACCACACCATCAAACCCGTCTCTGAGAAGGTTTGCGGACGCACTCTGCTTCACTTTGATTTATTGAATCTTTGCTGTATAAAACAGTCCGAGGGTTGAGATAGTTTGTAAATTTTTCATTAGTAAGCAGCAGCTCTAGCTTTACCGCGAAATCCCACATCCTCCATCTCTCCTCCGTCCCGCTGCGCTCCAGACCGCCTGCGCAAAGCAAAGCCTACAGCCTCCGCTGTTCCTCCCGTCTTGCTCTGCTCCGACTTCTTCTTAGCTCGAGGAGAGCATGCGCGATATTATGAAATTCATTGGAGCAAAAAATGCGGAAATTAATGCTTAATTTAATAACGCATTAAAAAAAATCCCCATCAGAATCCAGCATATGTTCAGTTTCTGCCCAAATATTTTCTTTTTGTTGTGGATTTTTGTAACAGGGATAACTAGGATCATACAAAACTGCTTTTTATGAACTATGTTTGTTCATAAAACTCAGCATCTCTTCATCCATTCCTGCAATAACAGGACTGGATTCGAATGTACTTTCAAGCCCTTCGGTATAAAATAAATATTGTGATGGAGATGAGAAATCTGCTTCCTCGTTGGTGAATAACCAATAGTTTGGATCCAATCATTTAAATAAATGGTGTTATTTTTTTATAATAAGAATTATGCTCTAATTTGTAGTTACCGTTATCTGTCATTACTAAGGGTGTGCAAATTAATCGTCATGACGATGCATCGCGATTCTAATTTTTGTGATCTACTGCATCGATTCTTGAAGGCAAGAATCGATTATAAAAAATTTAAAAAACATGAACAAATAAAATATATGAATGGTTGGCGCACATCAGCCAAATCAAGTGGAATACAACTTCCAGTCCAGCAGATTTCGCTGCAGATGTGTTGACTCCCTCTGCCTTGTGTCACAAGCATTTCCGGCCGCGGGATACTGAGACGAGTCATTCGTAAACAAAATATGGAGGAGACAGAGAAAATTCGCCCCGCTTGGATGCATTTTGGCTTTAAAAACAAAGATGGTAAAAATGAAATTGATATGATGCACGTAATTTGAAAAAAAGGACCACTGAGGCCATGTAAACGGCTCTGACATACAGTTAATTGTCCTGGAAATTCTGCAAATTTAAAAAATGTAAACCTTTGGTTGAAGCTGAACGTTTTTTTACAGTGTTGATCTAAATTGGATCTTANAAAGTACTCCAGAGTGTTGTTCAGCATGGGGGTGAGTAGAAAATGAAGGCTAATCATGTTTTGGGTGTACTATTCCTTTAAGACTAAGTGGAAGAAAAAATGAGTTTTAACTTAATTTAATCCCTGTTCTATTACTATCATGATTGTTTGCAGCACTGTGTTATCTTCCCAAAGAATAACGAAATGTTCAACAAACTGTTAACAAGAGAACAAAGAAATTAATATTTTGAGGATCTGTGAGGTAAACTCAGACTTGCACAGTTTTAGTGCATTTCACCTTCAGCTGAGATGGGATAATCCTTTCTTATAAGGTTGGGCTCAAATTTTAGTTTGAAATCCCTATAGCTATAGTTAAAAATGATTTCTCACCAGGTTTTTTTTTATACAATTTTTTATTTATTTTATAAATAGCTTCATATTGTTATTTTTCTTAATCTGATACTCAGTTAATTTATAGTTAAACTTAACACCAAAATTGACTATTTGACAAAATTATAATAAGTTCAACCATAAAATAAAACAACTTCAGACTTTAGCACCACAACCCACCTCTTCAGTTCAGGTGTAGCTGTTAATTGGTGTTAATGGCAAACTGAAGGCCAGGCTGGAGGAACATGGGTAACCTTTCAGTCTGATCTCATAAATTCCAGCTTTTCTTACCGGCTGCCTCTCCGCCCGTCTACAGATTCATCCAGATCTGCACAAGTCCAACGGGATCTCTGATCATAAGAGTCCCAAACTTTTGTCCTCTCTGTCTGGCTTTCTCCTCTGCTCCTTCCTCCATTGTCCGTCCCTCTTATAGGTCCGTGTGAAACAGTGCACTTTTTTTCCCCCTCTTTTCTCATTTGATTTCACATTAATAAAGTATGTTTTGACAAAGTGTAAGCAGGCTACATACAGTTTATTGTCCTGGAAATTCTGCAAATTTAAAAAATGTAAACCTTTGGTTGAAGCTGAACGTTTTTTTACAGTGTTGATCTAAATTGGATCTTAATCATGTCCATCTCATGATATTTGTTTTTTCTACAAACTGAAACTTGTACATAAAGTGATTTACTCTGAAATTATTTTCCCAACCCTTTTAAAATGACCAAGATACAGGATTTAGGGTATCGTGCTCTGGGTTGTGTCCAGATCTTTCCCTGCACTTGTTTTGGTTTAACCTTCTTCCCCTCTCCTCCATGCAGGAGCTGCAGACTCCCACCGATAAGCGTATCTTTGTTTTGGCGTCTGCGTTCAAAGCCGGATACTCTGTGGACCAGCTGTACGAGCTCACAAAGATCGACCGCTGGTTCCTGCACAAAATGAAAAACATCGCTGACCACGAGCGGCTGCTGGAGAACTACAGCCAGGTGAGCTGTTAGGATGACGTAAGCTGAGTTTAAATACTGTTTGCATTCTGAATGTTTCTCTAAATCAATCCAGGATGAGAGCACCATACCTATAGATGTGATGCGTAAAGCAAAGCAGCTGGGCTTCTCAGACAAGCAGATAGCTCTGGCTATACAGAGGTGGGTAGAAATCAAAGCTTGGACACAATTGGATCATTATTCTGCCATTTTTTCCTGAAGTCTGTGTTGATTTCTCACAGTACCGAGCTGGCAGTCAGAAAGCTGCGTCACGATTACTCCATCCTGCCTGTGGTGAAGCAGATAGACACGGTGGCGGCAGAGTGGCCAGCCCACACCAACTATCTGTACCTGACCTACCACGGCACAGAGAACGACCTGAGCTTCAGCGAGCAGCACGTCATGGTCATCGGCTCAGGCGTGTACCGCATCGGCAGCAGTGTGGAGTTCGACTGGTGTGCGGTTGGATGCATCACGGAGCTGCGGAAGGTAGAGGATGATAAAGATCCTGCCTGGCGTTTAAATCTGCTTCTCTGCATCATATGTAAATAATTTGCTGTACAATTGATTACAGATGGGTTATAAGACCATCATGGTGAACTACAACCCTGAGACCGTCAGTACGGACTATGACATGTGTGACCGCCTCTACTTCGACGAGATCTCCTTTGAGGTATGTCGCATGTAGAAGCTTTGGGTCCAACTGTACAAGTTTTTTGTTTGTTTTGAAATTAATAAATAAAGTTGTTTTAGGTGGTGATGGACATCTATGAGTGCGAGAACCCAGAGGGGGTGATCCTCTCCATGGGAGGCCAGCTGCCCAACAACATCGCCATGTCGCTGCACCGCCAGCAGTGCCGCATCCTGGGAACGTCGCCCGAGTTCATCGACAGCGCAGAGAACAGGTTCAAGTTCTCCAGAATGCTGGACACCATCGGGATCAGCCAGCCGCAGTGGAAGGAGCTTTCAGACACCGAGGTATCAGGCGTCTGAAAGGAGACGGGCTCTTTCTCAAAGCATTGCTCGGTTTTCACTTTATCGTTCTCCTCCAACAGTCTGCTGTGAAGTTTTGCGAGACGGTCGGATATCCCTGCCTGGTCCGTCCCTCCTACGTTCTCAGCGGAGCGGCCATGAACGTCGCTTACGGCGACAGCGACCTTGAGAAATACCTAAGCAGCGCTGTAGCCGTGTCCAAAGAACATCCTGTTGTCATTTCTAAATTCATACAAGAAGCAAAGGTGGGTTAAGGCATTAATTACCCATCACAACAGCTACTTGGCGTTAATCACAGTAAACTTAAAATAAAGCTTTAAAATCCTTTTTCTTTTCTCTCTAACAGGAGATCGATGTGGATGCGGTGGCCTGTGACGGGGTGGTGATGGCCATAGCGATTTCTGAGCACGTGGAGAACGCTGGCGTCCACTCCGGTGATGCCACCCTGGTGACCCCTCCTCAGGATCTCAATCAGAAAACTATTGAAAGGATCATGATGATAGTTCACTCCATCGGCCAGGAGCTGCAGGTCACAGGACCCTTTAACCTGCAGCTGATTGCCAAGGTCAGACTGAGTTCACCTAAATAATGAAATGTCTGAGTAAAGCTAAATTATCTATAGCATGGTTGATATTTCTGAAGAAGATGCAATTCTAGATTAACACAAAAAAGCTGATTATTTTTGAAGCTGAAGGACAAATTAGATTTCTATGGGATGATCACGAGTCTGGGTTCCTACAGTCGGACGATTATTCCTCTCCTCTGGGCTACGGCTATATTAGCTTATGTGCGGGTGCAGGTACCGTGGCCCTTCAGGTCAGCGAAGTGATTCCACATTTAGGTCCTGAATTTCACAAACCAAACAAGAAAAGCAAGGAATCAGACAGAAATAAAGTCCCAGTGGTTTTCAGCATAAATCAACCCGCCAACCTACGCCATCTTAACTACCAAACACAAAAGGTTCTTGAAAGTTTCTCCAAAGAAAAAGAAAAAGGATAATTAAGCCCACGAATAGTTTTGCCCTGCAACTCCCAGAAAGAGCGGGAATCCAATTTCCTTTCTTTGGAAGGCTGTTTCTGCTGCTGAAACTTTTCAATGCAGCTGCAACTAACGTTTGTTTTGCAAATCTTAA